GGAAACTTTAGACGCTGCTTATCACCCTCATCCTTCCCCCTCCTACCAAAAATCTTGTACATTGTTTCATAAGTTTTCCAAAAAGCATAAATTAAAATGTATGGTAACCCGCTTCTCATTCAGCCACAGGTTGGGCCTTTATGGTGATACAGCAGTTCCCAGCATTAGGCTTTGCTTGCACTGATTCTCTGTGCATGGATGCTTTGGTCCTGGGCTGTGGTTTCTCTGTCTAAACTATGTGGTAGTCTTAGACCTCAACTTCCTACTGCAGAAATTACATGTTTTTGTAGGTGCTGGTTTGGCTTCTTAGCAACGGTAGTTGCAAGAAACAATAGAGATGGAGCGAGCTGAGAAGCCGTGCTGCTCTAATGACATTGGCCTCGGAAAGATGGCTGATGAAGGTGCACTGTAAAAAGTGAGCTCGCATAATAAAGCACTGATACAATGTTTATTAGTTAAACTACATGCAAAATTCCCACAGTTTGTTCCTAAAGGGACCTCTCATTTTGAAATTACAGTCATGAGTTTTAGTGGTAGGTTTGACTTTTTCTAAGTAAATTCAGTAAAATTGGTGGATATCTACCTATTTTCATTTGTTCTTAGAATGGATCTTAGGGTATGAAATATGATGCAGACTTTAACATATGGTCCACTTTTTTCTAAAATATTTTAAATAGCAATGACTTCAGGATGCAACACTTAAAAAATTCCTGGTTCTGAATTTCCGAGACATTAATTTTTTTTTTTTGCATTGTAGAAAAAAAAAAAAAAAAAAGACCTGCTTACTAACCATTTCCACTGGAATCTGCCCTGAGATGGAATCCCTCAAGAGAATACATAGCCTTAAGGTTAGAGCTGCTGCTCTTCTGTGCTGGGGAAATCTGAAGATGGTAGCTGCAAGTTACATTCTGCTGATAGCAAGGCCACTGTGCCAAGGCAATGGGCCTTGCTACAAGGGGCTCCGGCCCCAGGAGGCTCGGTCAGCTGGAAGGGTGATTCCAGGGGAGACAAGACAGTATTTCCTCTTTCTTCTCTGATAAGATTTGCAAAAGTTTCCCTTTGCAGGCTGTATCTGATCAACATCTCTCAAAATCTCAGAATCAAGGACGGAACATGAACTGCAGAACTCTCAATTTCATTTGGGGAGCTTAGCAGGAGGAATGCTGTCTGCTTGTGGGAAGTTCACGTTTGGTCTATAATTTGATCTGTGGTCATCCTGACAGCTGAAATTTGATTACTACAAAGTGCATTTTATTAAATTTCTATAAAGAAGATTGGCAGAAGATGCTGCACGTTTGTCAAGGCAGCTTTCTAACATGCATTGCTGAAATGAACATATGATCAGTTATGCTTATTATTTGCCTTACCTGAAAACTATGAAATATTGAGGTGAAATTTTAAGAGCAGACAGAGAATATTGTCATTTTTATTGCACAGTTTCAGTGCTTCTAGCCGGAAATGTACGCTGTGTGACAATTCAGCCTGGTAACAGCTTTGTAAGTAGATCAATAGAACAGATTACTTCAGTTTTTACAGAAGTTGCAAGTACTAGAGAGATAGTGGGATCGTGGTTTGTAAACCTTAAACCACACTTTCCTGCACAACAATCTGCAAAGATATTATTTTTTCTAAAGCATGTACGTGATTTTCAGCTGCAAGGAACTTCCTCTTTCTTCACAAGGACTAAACAAATGTTGTTTCTGAGAGCATGCATCTCGCTGTTGCCTTCTAGTTTGCACTTGAGTGATCAAGTGTTTTGGTAAGTGAAGGGGTTGTCATGAGCCATTTTGTGACCCTTCATGTTTTCGATGTCAAACTTCAGCCAACGGAAATGGAGACCCTGGATCTGCTGAGGAATTGTTTGGTGTGCAAATGGGACCTGCGGAGGAGAGACCCCAGAATGCTACCTTGCCTTCATTCCTTCTGTAAGGACTGTCTTCCGGATTTGATTCAAGGATATAGCTGTATTCCCACTGAGTATGAAGTTCTATACGAAGGTAATATTTAAGAATCTCTAATTTGTGCTCCTTGCATTACAGTATTATAAAAATAGATGGATTGAGACATTTTTTGTAGCCTATTCCTCAAGATTTGTATGAGTAGAGGGTTAATTGGGAACAAGCCTCCTTTGTTATGTTTTTCATCCAACAGCAATGTTTTGAAGAGAAGTGACACAGTCTGGCAACATTTAATATTTTCCAGAATGGGCTAAGTTTCAGTTACCAAGTGTGACATTATGAATATTTGATTTGCTTAGTGTAATAAATGAATAAATGCCACAAGGTAGTTTCTAGGCTACATCTTTATCCAATTTTTTGGACCTTTCTGTGGTACTGGTTGTGGTGATAGTTTTATTCTTTCTTCTCACCCCCTTCTGCACTCCCCTCCCCCCAGCAACACCAACACAAAAACATCCTCTTTGCTCCTAACAGAGGTCATAATAATTGTTATTAGAATATGTGTATTGTGGTGCGCTGAAACTCTTTTATCTCATTGTAAATGTGGTTTCTCTCTATCTGAACCCTTCTGACAGTAGGCTATACTGTAATTGTAACCCTAATAAGCTGAGTAAACTAGTGAGGATGAGAAGCATTTTGTGACTGTGGCTTTTGAAATCCTGAAGTTATTTGTACAGTTTTTAGTAGTGATGTTAATAGAAAATACATAACTTTTTTGGAATAAGGTAGGACTTAGATCACAGAATACAGTCATTTTAACTGAATGAGTCTTAATTGCCATGGGGAAGCATTCCAGACTCATTACTAATTTATAAGAAGAGCAAAAGAATGTAGATTACTTGTATTTTCACAGGCTTTGAACTTCAGATGAATAAGAGGCATCATTTATTATCTCTTCCATAGCAGATTTTAGAAACATGTAGGAAGAGAAGATACCTTCCCTGAGGTGATAGTAATCTGACTTGACAACGGAAGATAAACTAGACAAGTTCAGGTTTAAGAACAAATGGAAACAGTGTTAGGATATCACTGCTGAAAGGCTAGCAGAACACAAAAGTTCAAGGAAAAGGGAATAACCTAATGGCAAAGGAGAAAGACTATTCATGTGTGGGGTACAGACAGAAAAAGATATAAAGGGAGGAGGAGATGACAAAGAGCAGTCATTTCAAGTAAATGTCTCCTTGAAGTTTTTAATGCCCAATCATAGCAGGCTTAAAGTTTGAGGAACCTACATTATAGTAAAATGCTGTCGAAAACAACCACTCCTTTACTTTTTATATGTCTTCATTTGACATCTAAGCCATTCCTTTCTCCTCCTTGTTTCTGTTTGCCAAATGGAAAAGTGAATTTATACCACTTGGTGATCTTGGAAGAAGTGCAGCTAGAGGTTCTCATGAGTTGTTAAAATATCAGATATTTCTTGAAGCTCCTGAGTGGATCGGGAATTACTTGTCTATAGCAAATTGGAACAAATACTAATTTACTTCTTTGTTCTTGAAGTTTCTCTGTTTACTTCCTTATTCTCTTGTAGATAGGGAACTTCTATGGGAATGAGAAAGATTAGAGAAAAGAAATAATGAACGGTTATGACCCAGTAAATGAAGTGAGACACCAGGTGCAGAGACTCAGTTAATAAATGAGCAAGGAGAGCAGCAAAACCAAAACATCTGTGTCTCTTATTTAAGTCAATGACTGAAACTGTGACCACCATAGGTCAGCCAGGATAAATGTGAAATCATCTGATGGTGTGATGCTAAACATTCCTTGTCTTTCTGCACTGATTGCTGAGTTATGAGCAGTACCATATGAACTCAATTTTCAGTGTTATCTTTAAGTGTGATCATATATAAGTGCCAATGATAAACTGTAAATACAAGTGCTAAACCATTTTAGATGAGTAAACATGAAATACAGTCTGTAAGAAAAATGTGTTCCTTACTATGAATTCTTTAAGCAAAATATAAGAATGGAAAAAGTGAATATATTTCCAAGTGAAGTCAATCTGACATTTGCTACAAAAGCATACTTGAATTTGTAGGTTTTGGTATGCTTTGCTATAAATAGTGCTATACTAACATAAAGCTCTTTTCTAGTTTATTGTTGTATTAAGATTGCTGAGAAGATGGAGGTAAGTGGTCCTGATGTTTGATGGGGTTGATGTTGGAAACTTACTTTTATACCTGCATGTGTTTAAGAAAAGTCATGAATGAAAGGTCGGAGATAGCCAGAGCTCTTGTGGAAAAGCTGCATACACATCAGAATTTATTCAAAGCTGTGAGAACTGAGAGTTTGGAAAGAATTTGAGTGGAAAAAGAAAATTACCTTTGTGAGTTTGGCTCTTACATATACTTCTTACATGAAGGGGACCTTAAGATTCTCACTTTCTTTTCTTTTTCTGCAGGCCAGTGTCACCTTCCTTTTTTTCTTCCTTCTCTTCATTTAACAGAGACTCCACATTCTTCTCCTCTGCAGATCTGCATGTTGTGTGCTTCCAGTCTGTTTAGTGCATGGGAAGGAATTATTTTAAAGAGAGGGATTGGGTAAGAACATGAGAGAAAATTCCCCCAGCTCCTGAGATGGAAATTTCTCAGATGAGAACTTTCCCAGGTTCCTACCTGTGTGAGTTGCTGCTCACAGTACAATGTGAAAACATACAAAATCAGTTCTTGCATGCTGCCTTGGCTTCTTGGGTCTGGCTCTTTCTCACTGAATTCTGAATGCATTCAAAGCCAGATTCGTCCAGGTTCCTGTGCTTATCCCTCCTTTCTGAATTGGAGGTGGGTGCCAAAATAAATTGCCCTTTATTTGCAAATCTTCTTCTCTATAAGATGTTCAATGATTTAAATTGGTTTAGTGCTTTCAATATCACCAACATACTAATTTCAAAAGTAGCTCAATGAGGACCAGTGGAGGTGCATTGTTGTAAGGAGTTCATGTTTTTGCAAGACTGTCTCAGCTCGAGGTTTGTTTTTTCTTTTTCCTTTAAAAAAAAAAAATTCTCAGGTAATCACTACTCAATCACAGTTTAGACCCCTGAGAACAAGGCAGATCAGGAAAGATGTGCTGGAACACCCTGCAGATTTCTGCTAACTGGTATCAAGACCTGGTATTATTTACATTTTGTGATTGAATTGGGTAATTTGTCTAACTGGTAAGTTACACTTTATGTTTGTAAAATGCAGTTAGTACTTGCCCAGCTTTGTAAATTGCTTTGGGAAGTGGTAGATTTAATTGTGTCATGTTTTTGTATTGAACTTGTGTGTTGAGCTTTTTTTTTCCTGAAATTCTATTTTAAAAATGTGCTTTGCCCTTTTGTGGTTCTCTAGGTTGGATAACAAAAATAATGGAAAACGACTGCATTTCTTTCCACATTCTGTGCATAAGTCAAAAACTGTCCATGCTTGTGTTACGTTAGCTTCCCATGCGCAAGAGAGGGTCTGAGATCCCCACTTAAACGCCAAGAAATGTAACAGGGTTATGTGTCAGAGAAATGCAAACTGACCACATAAAACTAAGAGAAAACAGACTATTAAAGAGAACAAATGTGAATTCAGCTCTTGACAGATGTCGACTTGCTGCATTTTATTATCTCCAGCTGAAAATATACAGTTTTCTTTAGCTTGCAAGGTAGGTGCTATATGTAACCATGGATCTGTAACTGTGAACACTTGTTAGCAAGGTACATCCAGAACTCAGCCAAGCGTTGGTCACACTTGCATTTAATGCGTTCAGAGATATCTTCAAGGGGGGTTATTTCAAGAAAAAGATTGAGCTCTAGGACTTCTTTGGCTCTAGGCTCATTTTCAGTGTGATGTTTTAGCATAAGAAGTATGATGCACTGGCTTAAGGAGACTCCAGGTGTCAACACACAGCGCCTTATCTTGTACCAAGTCTGTATGTAAAAAAAAAAAAAAAAAGCTCATACACAGAGTGTTTTAAACCATATTTAGGCTTACAGTGGAGTATGGTTTGGCCGCCTTGGTGTTACAACTGTTATATCTCCAGGATGTTGTGATGCAATCATATAAGGAAACTGATGCAATGCATCACATGTATTCATTCTGGAGGAGAATACCCATTTGCTTTAATTAGATCCACTTAACATCAAATACATGTTTTATTTCTAAAAAGGGAAGTAGAAAGGTAATTCTAAGAGGGAAACTGTTCATAACATACATATGTATTCATCTTGAAATGGATTTAAAGTTACTCAGCCCTTCTCACTCTGTCGTTCAGCTGCTAGATCCAAAAGGCAAGTGAAACAGTAGGGGGTTTAGTTATATAAATATGAAGCTGTGGAGTGGGAGGTTGTCTTCAGAACTGTTTCCTATAACCTATAATTGGGTCTCCAAGGAAGTGTAAATTATGTCTGCAGCTTGAGCTGTAGCTAATGCTCTTTGAGAATAATTATTCTGATGGCTGTTGGAGGAGAAAGAACAGAGGAATAGGTGCAACATGTGGACAGCAAGTATAAATGTGGTGTGTACAATAGCTCCACTGTTTGTTTCTTTATGCTAATCAATTCTCATTATAATAATAGGTTAATTATCTGCATTGATTTATTTCTGAGACAACCAGCTTGAGGGTTCTTTCTCTTTAAACCTGATCGGACTGGAAGACCTTGAAATAAAACTGCCAGCTGCAGCTTTTGATGTTCAAAAGGTCTTTGTACTCAGTTTCTATACGTGGTGGCGAGGTTACAGTTCACACTTTCAGAGATGATTGCTGCAAATTATCCACATCTCTGTCACTTACAAATTAGATTGCTACAATATAGGTGGAGTAAAAACTTGAGAGCACTCAGAAATTTTGGTTCTTTATTTGTGCTTCTACAAAGGAACACTCTGTATGAGGGTCATTACCTTGAAGTCTGCCTGCTGTTCCCTGGGCCCGATGCAGTGTGACAACTTTCATTAAGAGAAAAGAAAGTGCTGTGGGATGTGAGAGCTCTGACCTGTGGGGAACTAGGGTTTGAACAGTGTATGGCAGAAACTTCTTGTTTTCCTGAAAGCTGTTTTTGGATATCCCAGGTATGGAGT